GCTTCCGGGTCTCATGGCGGAGACCATCACGCAGATGAGAACGGAGATGGGAATGAATGTGTGTCTAGTGCCGTCAGTAGCCTTGCCAGGTGTTGGCAGCATCCCTAGGAAAGTCCTACAGCATGTTCAGGCCTTCCTTTCCAACAAAGAGGAAGAGAAGGAAAAAGATGAAGACAACAACAGCAATAATAATAAAAGCACGTTGAGGCGGTATGCATTTTCTGCCACACTGCGAGCCCTCGAAACTTACTTTCCGCTCCTGTCGACGATTTACGCCTACGTGGCGTCACAAGCATTCCTTTGCTCTCTGGTGGAGGTCATCACCAGGGAATGCGGCCAGCTCCTACACTTTGTACATGAGGAGCAGGAGGGTCAATACACGGCTATGAATAAGCATGCAGAAGACACAAACTATGGTGTGGCATGCCGGAACGCCCTGGGTTTGGCGGAACGGTACCTTATTCATGTTGTTATGCCTTGCATGCGCGTTCTTGCGCCCTCGCCGATTTTGTATGGTCGCGTTCAGGCACTGTTTCTTCTTATGAAAGAAAAAGGGCCGGTGGTGAAATTTGGAATGAATCCTGCTGAGTTCCTGCACATGAACACTTGGCTACATTGGCTTCTGCGTCCGACGTCTATCTGTGATCGTGCCCCGCACGACGTACTCCGCTCTAAGGAGCTTGAAGCGCTTTTTGCGCAATCATTAAAACGAATGACGCAATCCAATGTGGCCCATTACAGGAACCTGTTGCAACCAGTCATTTACGCGAATCCGCTTCTTGTGGCGAGGAAGCTGTTCCAGCAAGCAGTAGGGTATGGGAATAACTTCCTGCAGATTCACACGCAGTTGCTGAAGGGCGCTCCAGCGGCGGTTCTCACTCTTGTAGCGCACGAAGGTTTATCGATTATGCGACAATACGCGGAAGAAGAGCGCATTGGAACAGCGGATGCAAACCGTGTCGGGCTTATCGCAACGTTTCTCTCCGTTCTATGGCGTGACAATCCGCACAGTTTTGATGGCGGTATGTTGCTCCGGGCAGCCGAGTATGCGCTTCGCAGGGAAGCCCGTGCGTCTATCGTATTTGGGTTGGAATTGCTGAGGTCCATCCTTCATGAGATGCTCGACCTTACCCTTGAGCATGAGGAACAGTACAGCGTGGCGCAGTTGAAGGCACTCCTTGCACCCTCCTCCACACAGTGGTTTGCAAAGGGTGCAGCCGAGTCGTTCCGTCGAGGTCGTTGGAACACATCCCTCACACCCGCCATCTTGGCCGCCGCCACGTCCATGTTTCGAGTTGCCCTGCAGGAGGAGTGTCATGTCCCTGTTGAGAACGAAGAGCCAGAGGAAGACGAAGAAGAAGGGGAAGAAGAGGCAAGAGACATGCATCGAGCGACCACGACGGCTACACCGCAACAGCGACATGATGACGAGGGGAAGGGAACCCCCACAGTGAAGTTTACGCTGGGGCAGTGCCTGTTGTTGCACCTTTGTCGGTTACACAGCCGAATATACACGGTGCAGGCGGATCTGGCGGGGACGATGCAGCTTGTGCTTCTCACCTGTGCGAGGGATTACAATGTGATCAATGATCTGCTGCTCTGTATGGAGACAATACTCCCACAGGGGCCACCAGAAGAGGAGATCTTTATGGTTGCAATGCCACATGTTGCTCTACGCATTACGGCCCGCTTTGCCGTGAAGGAGGCGCAGCGTAAGACGTCAATTGGGAAAAAGTTTTCGAGCGTAGACGCTCTATTCAATGTTACGCCGTCTGATATCATGAGCTGTGTGGAGCGTCCGGCATCTGTCACGGCCATCGATAGTGTCATTCCCTTTTCAATTTTACAGAAATTGTCTTACTACTCCGCTGCCCACTTCGTGTTTGATGAATCTGTTTACACGGCGGCAACGAATGAAGTGAACCAGTTTTATAATCACGCCACTGCCCTTGTAAAGAGGAGCATCCATAAAGATACCGGTATTCACAACAATACCCATGAGAGCGATCATAATAATAATAATAGCAGCGCCGGAAGCAGTCCCACCACGGACCCCACTATTCGTTGGCTACAGGAACAGCTGCGGCAAATACGGCTGGAGAAGGAAGCCCATCAAGAGCTTTATCAGAAGTGCGAAGCAGCACGAGCAGCGTTACTTGAGGAGTTGCGTTGTAGCGGCGTGCTTGCTGAGCCCGTGGTGTTTGCAACGTCGTACCTTCTTCCACGTGCCCTTCTTAGCCTAGAGGACACGTTGTTTGTGTATCACTTTATGAAGTGGCTTTTGAACGTCACCAAAACAACTGGAAATGATAAGGATGGGTGTGGGGACTATGAACGAGTTGTCGACATTGTTCTCTCCCTCATCACCGCTACCATGACGTTTTTTGTGGGTTTTACGGACGGCGAATGCAAGCGCGTGGGTTTCTTGTTGGCTCTTTTGCGTGCGGCTCTGCATGAGACTACCGTTGAGATGCCCCCATTTCCGTCTGTGAACGACCCTATTGCGACATCAACAACAACGAGTGGTGGGGCAGCAGATGTGTCTTCTCCCCCTGTGAATTTCACGACGGAGGCACTCATGGCACTTCTGGAGCCGAAGCCACGAACTTTCATGTCCATTTTTGCCTCCTACGCCGCAGGGATGACTGATGCTGCCAATGGTGTGAAAGATCAGGAAGAAGCGGATTCATCCGGTGAGAAGGGTGCGATTCAAGAAGCGCAGGCTGCACTACCGGCATTCCCAACTCAGCTGGAGGCCTACTTATGTCGCGCACTTGTCCATCTCCTTCTGCACCAGCGAGAAATTCCATTTCTTCACCGCAACGCCCTTCTCGTCCTTGAGCGACTCACCAAGAACACGCCGGCCTTTCCCTCAACCTTGTGTGCCACCGAATGGCTGATTAAGGCCATCACACCACACGCAGTGCGGAGTTCCTCCTGCTACGCCTCTGCAACAGCGGTGCTGAAGGTTTTGAAAGGCAATCGACATCGGATGGAAGAAATGTTGGACTCGTTGGCCTCGCGACTTGTTCTACAGACGGGCCCGCCGAGCAAAAATGGGGTGGAAAAGCAGATAGAGGCATGGCAAAAGCTCTGGAAGTCGCGGGAGGCATATGCTCGACTGCTTCTTTTGGAGGATATTGCAGCTGCTGAAAGACGAGGCGAAACAGAGGCCGTTGTTTCAGTTAACATTGGTGGGATGGGCTTTCAAGCAGAAAAGAGCGTCGAAGACGAGGCGGCAGATATCGAGGAGGTGGAAGCAGAAGCACCAGATGATGATGATTATGCAAACGGGATTCATGTTGAAAATGAGGAGGAACAGGACGCTAGGGAATTACAAGAAGAGGCAGAAGATGACGATGTGACAGGTGATCACAGCGAGCCGCGCAGCTTTTCTCTAACTGAGTGCTGTGATAATGAAGAGAGCGACGTCTGCAGCGAGCAGCAAGACGAAGAGACGGTTGAAGAAGAAAATCTGGTCACCGATATTCCTTTCAATGATGAGTTCTCCTTACGCGACCATGCTGCAATGTCTCATGGAGAAGAAATGGTGGAAACAAGGGGAGGGAATGATGGAAAGAGAAGTCGTGATGAGGAGGATGATGCCAGTGAGAGTCCACCGAGGACGGTGAGTCGGCTGGAGATGCCTCTGAAAGATGGGGAAGAAAACGTGTAGACGGCATAAATAAATTGCGGCATCTTTTTGTTCCCTGTACATATATATATATATATATACGTATGTGTGTCTACATGCGCCCACATTATAAGTGGTGTGCCTCCTTTTTTTTTTGACTTTGTTCGAAAACGGGGCCTGCTCGGAGCGCATCTGCTTTTCTCTCTATTCTTTTGCTGTAAGGAGGCAACAGTCTAAGAAGTGGGATAAGTGCTGCGGACGAAAGGAGAAGGGCATTTTCTCTGTGTGTGTTTTTTTGTACTGGATGCAGGCAACGTTGCACTTCCGTTTTCCTAATCGACAAAATCCGAAGGAGCCACGCGATGTGTCGGTGCGTGTCCTTTTACAGGCGGCGGAGCAGCGACCGAAAGCGACATTGAACTTCTTCTTTATGTGCACGGGCCAGCTCCCTTCAACGGATGTGTTGAACAGCTTTGGTATTGCAGCTGGTGAACTCTCGGCGACGTCCGTGGGCGGTGGGCTGCGCTCCTCAGGGTTGAAGCCCTTTGCGGAGAGCGCTGTTGTGCGCATCGAGAAGAATGTCATGATGGAGATTGGCAGCAGCATGACGAAAACCATCTTTGGTGGCTTCATTGAAGACGAACCACAAAAAGGGAAACAGTCGCACCCTTCTTCTTCCTCCTCCTCCTCTATTTCCACTGCCGCCCACTCGACCCATGCCGCTGGCATGCAGCAGCTTCGCGCAGGCACACTACTCATCGGTAACGTTGGGTCGCCAAACACAAACGGAAGCCGTTATTACATTCTTCTACAGGACGTTGTTACGGAAAAACAGCGTCAAGAGTTAAGTGTTTATCAGCCCCTTGGAATGGTCGTCGCAGGGTTACAGGCTCTCTGCGAGGCGTGTGGATCGGCCGCAGTCCAGCCACGCACACTTGCGCCCCTGCAAGCCGTGCCGATATGGGTGTCTGAGGTACGCCTTCAGCATCGAGCACCCACTCCCAGCTCTTGCATAAATATACAGTCGGGGGAGGTAGCGATGGCAACACAAGGGAAAGGAAAGGGAAGGGAAAGAGTAGTGGTGGCACGCATGGCAGGTCACACACGTCGGCGTGATGAGGTGGAAGCGGAGGAAGAGGCAGATGCGGGGGGCAGCGGTCCCGCTGCGAGAGCGGCACAAGGCGGCTTTTTCAACCTCTCACTCACTTTTCCAAAACGGTCTGATGAAGAGAAGCAAGGCGTCAATGGATCACAGGCGAAACGGATGCGCACAGAGCGTTACGTGACGACCGCCGATGGAGCGAAGGCCCTGCGCACAACAGCGGTGGAGCGGGGAGAAGGCGAGCCGTTTGACTACTTTGCGGCGCAGGAGATTGCGTTTGTCAACGATGTGAACATCATCGCTGAGACGCAGGCGGCACGTCAACAACGCCGCCGTGGAAAACAACAACAACAAAAGAGGAGAACCGTGAGAAAATTTGGGTTGGGCGGATCCATGAAAACGAGTAAAAGCAATCAGGGAACAGACCGTACGGCGGTGTCGAAGAAAAAGACGCTTTTACGCCGATACTAAAAAGAATGGAAAAGGATAAGGAATAATAAGCAAAAGGAAGAACAACGACTGAAAATTGGGAGCTTTTTGTTTTTCTCTTTTTTTTTCTTTTTCTCCTTTCTTTTTGTCCTTTTCTTTTTTTCCTTTTTTTTTTTTGTTTGTTTGTTTGTGAAAGAGGAAGGAGAGGAAAGAAGCCATTGGAAAAAAACAAAAAAAAAGGCAAAACAAAAGAAGAAAGGAAAAAGGGGAGGGCGATGCTGCGTTATCGCACTGGTGGTGTGGGCGGATTCCCTATCCACTATGTGAGTACATGGTGGCACCTCGCTCGACATTACCCGCATCGAGTGGCGTGTATGCTGGCGTTGCATCATGGCCATACAGTGCGACGTGTATCGACGAGCCATGTGGCAAGCAGCGAGGGGGGTGGGAACATAGATAAGAGGGAGCCGCAGCTTCGTCGTCTTGCGGTGGTTCGTCCCGATCTGGTTGACGAATGGGTGCCGGAGCTGAACGATGCGGATGTGAGCTCGGTACCGTGTACCAGTCAAATGTCTGTGTGGTGGCGTTGTACCGCATGCGGGGAGAACTACCAGTCATCCGTGCGGGATCGCGCTGTGGCCGATAAAGGTTGCCCACGCTGCTCTCTTCTGCACCAGCCGCAATCTCCACAGCACACGAACGGGAGTGAAAATGGAGCTGTAGGAGACGCGACAACAAGTTCAGGAGGACTTCCATCGCTCGCGGAGACGCACCCTTTGCTTGCTAGCCGATGGGACTACGAGAAGAACGGTCTTCTTCGCCCAACAGACGTTACGAGCACAAGCGAGTTAAACGTTTGGTGGAGGCCGGCGGAGGGGAGGCCGGCGCATGAGCCGTCTTTTCGTCGTCCCGTGTACGCCTTTGTTGAGGTGCCATATAGCAAGGAAGAGCAAAAGGAGTCTCTGGCGAAAATGGAGCTTGACATCCTTCAGCAAGTAAGGCAAGCTGCGAAGATTGCCGAGGCACGGGAGCTTGACACTTTTCCTGCAGCTGCAACCATGTTAGATGACATTGTCTCCAATAGCCCTGAATACGCGGCCTCGATGCCAATGACACGAGAAAAACAAGGGCAAGAGCTTGAGGGTGAGGATCTGTACAAGGCCATTGAACTTTGGGAACGTGGTGTGGATGCCAAATCGGATGCCGACTATCAACCGCTTTTTCAGTTCACGGAGGCGTGCGACTGGGGCGAGGTCTCTCGTGAAGAAGTTCTTACGGTATACGATCAATTTGTGATGGGGCACAAGCTACACAAACAAGCGAAGGAGGGCAATAATGCTGATGCGAATAACTCTGTTGAGTCCTCTTCTGTTCCCTCCGTGATTACAGACCCGGACTGGGTACAACACTTCACTCTTTCTGTGGATGATGTCTCAAAGGATTGCTTTGCCTCGTCCGCGCGCCTTGTTCTTCCGGATGTGTTATTCTCCTTGAAATCGCCGCGACCACAAGAAGGAGGGAAGAGTGAAGAGAAGAATGGCGAAGCCACCGTCATCAGTCGCCGTGTTGACTCGCTACCGCCCCCACCAGAGGAGTACGAGACTGAAATCCGCACATCGTTTGCCCCTCGCAAGCGATTTTACCCGCGCCCGCCACCGATGCCGCCCAGCCGTGAGGATGAACTGACGGATTCGGTAGCCATGGCAACGGAGGAAACACGAAATCAGGCTGCGTCACACGAGGGAGAGACCGGGAACGGAAAAAGAGGTTCTTTGAGCAGAAATGCACCGTCAGAGGCGTCCTTTGAGGTTTTAAGCCTCGCTGACTCACAAAGTCTTCTGCGGGAGTACGCGTTATCTGGCGATAAAGCTCTGCCATTTGATGCGGATGAAAAGGATCTTCAAAAACAGTCACTTGTGGGCCCAGTGGCCGTGCAGTCCATGACGAGAGAAGATGCCCAGGCGTTGCAGTATAACCGCGGCGCACCACGTCCCCGCCGCACCGTAAGATTCAGATTGCGTCCACCAGTGGATGCTGACATCCGACAGGCAAGAGGTTTGGGAACCGCATTGGGCGCGTCTTTGTCATCCACGGCAAACAAGGCTGAAGCGAGGGTGCAACCGGTGATTCAAGCGCCTGGTGCACCACGAAAGGTGGCACGACCAAAGAAAAAGCACCAAGAGACCACGGATATCAATGACTCTTCTTCTTCTCCATCTCATACCGAAGAGAAAACAAATTCGGCGGCATCTGTGTAACGTCCGTTGTGTTTTGGAATGTGGTTCTTTTTTTTGTTGTTTCTTTTTTTGGTTAGTTGGTTTTCTTTCCGTGTTTGTGTGTGTGTGTGTGTGTGTCTGCCCTCCCCAGATTTCTTTTACCTCCTCATTCGTGCACATTAGTTCGGGCAGGGGATTCATTGCAGTACTCACAATTTTATTTACCAGCACTTAACGAGAGGAACTGGGGGAGAGAGAAACGGAATTCACAAAGACATATATATATATATGGATAGTGAGAAAAATAAAAGGAATCCGTACCGTTAGCATCCGCAGAGGGAATTTTATTCGCCTTGTTTGTTTTTTTTTTTTTCTAATTGTTGTTATTATTATTAAGGTTATTATTATTATGTTGTTTTTGTTGTTATTTTACTTCTGCGGTACGATGTG